GGATTCACGAGAATCTGGTACCGCCAACGTGCGACGAGGAGTGCAGCGATATCGACGACAGCTGCAGCGACGACAGTTACGACACGGAATTGTCTCTTCAGGAGGACGACAACGTGACGGAGAACGGGAAGGGTGTCACTCGCGATGGCCGAATGAAGAGGGAAACCAGGAGAGGCCCGACCTCGACCGTCACTTTCGACGGGAACGGGTCGGTATAATCATCCGGATTTATAATTATAAATCGCGAGACTCTATGCGCCAAGTGAATTGCGAATTAACGGTTTTCAGCTTACGTTTAGAGTGTGATTGATAAAATGTCGCAAATAAAATGGGAAACTGATTTGCAGACAAAAATAATGAACCGTTGTCCATTTCGCATGAGCTTCGTCTACGAATCTTCTGGTGGCGGCGAAACGTATAATTCGCGTAAATGGACGATTTTGCATAATTGCTGCAACAAGGTGAAATGCCAGTCCGTCGCTGGATGCACGGCGAACGCGTTTGTCTACCTAGTCGCCCTCCGGCACACGTTATAATGTACATTCATTGATCACTTGACTCGATTAACTTTCTGCTCCATATCGTCGCAGGGTCAGCAGATGCACGAGGTGCAGTTTGTGTTATTAACGGTATCAAACGAGCACGGTGCCGTGCGGGCGTCGCGACTAGACGATTTCGCGCGAGTTGCGCAACGCATCTGTACGAAACTATCATCGACATTTCAATGAGCTCGGGACGAAATGCACGGTGCATTCGCGATAGAAATGAATGATCTCGTTTTCAATTGTAGAAACAAGAGCGAGCTATCTATATTGTTCCCTATATATTGGAAAAAAGAGATTTTACATTACGCTGAAGAGAATTCAGTGAGAAGTGATGGGTGAAAAAGATGTCGAATAGACATCGATCGACATCCTTTCAACCATCATTTCTTACTGGGAGGCTTCGGCAAGTTGAATATTTAAGAATTGGCAAGTTGGATATAGGTATGAGAAAATAATAGGGGAATATTAATATACAATAACCATGGACAATTTGCCGTTTAATTTTTGCTCCATGAGTCACCGCTCTAAAATTATTTCGTAAAATTATACACGGATTACCAAGGATCTAATGCTACTTCGCTCTATAAAATAGCATCGATATAGTATATTTATATACTATATTTATTATTGAGGAAGGAATGGTATTAATCTTAATGGGAAATTCGTAAATTTAAAATACAATGATAGTGCGCGCGTTGTAACACATTGAAAAAAAGATTTATTCTAAATGCAAGAATATGATCTTATAAATTTATTTATGTCACCCTTACTTTAATAAAGTGTGTCAATCTTATTTAATTCGAGAGAGGAAAATCGAGAGGAATTATCGATTTAATATTTTAATATTGTTTTATTTTTTACACAAGGCTGTGATAAGTTTAAATATAAATCAAGAATATTTTTTGTCTTGTTACCAGAAGTCCCTTCCGAGAGGGTGCATTGCACCTGACAGAGATATTAAACTAATTTGACGATGAGGATACGCTGTAGATGCAAAAGTTCTTTCTGAACAATGGCAGTGGATGTGTCGTTAAGAAAAATTAATATAAAATAAAATTAACTTAAACGCGTTCTAGATAATACCGTTTCATCAAATTTCTTTGAAGAAAAAGAACCGGAGAAGGGCAATTAGTTTTTTTTTTAAGAAAAACTATCGAAAAGAATTTAAATAATTCCGTTCGGATATCCTAAAATCTTGGAATAGTTTCACGTAAAAATAAATTTTGTTTATACGAAAGTTTCTTGTGAGCGTTTGACTTGTACACGAAGCCATGTAAAATTCACCGCGTTAACATACGCCTTCTGATAGCGACCGAGCTGTTCGCGTAACTCTTCGCACAAAGCCTATTGACATTTCGTTTCCTCTCCCCCGAGAATCGGTTTAAAATTAACGAAGTACGGGAGAAACGCCTACAGTATCGCGTGGTGCGCTTCATTCACGGAGCTTACTGACCTGGAAAACCGGCCGACCTATATATTTTGCCGCGTTTATAAAGGCGTGAGCACCCTATGAGAGCGGCAAAGTCAACCCTAATGTCTAGCGCGGCTCAAGAAGTATAACATGCCAAAAGAAATATCAAGAATATCTCAAGATATATATTATAATATTATAATATTAAGACAATAAAATATTAAGCGAATAAGCGAAACAGAACTGATATGAATCTAATCAAATACAAATGATTATAATATGCCATTTCTTTTTCATCAGAGCTGGATCTTCGTAGCGTAATAAGAATTCTGTGTGAATTTTGTCTACTTTCTCTAAACTCAGTAAATTGCGCGCCGATTTCTTTATCGGTCTTCTAATCCAGTCTTTGATTTGTTGAAATTCACATACTTAAATCGACAAATGATTTTAATTGTTGACGCTAATACGCATCCTATTTATAAAAATCATTGTACAGAATTTCTTGCGTCAGGTGAATTTTAAAATATCACCTCAGCCAAGATTTAAACCTAGACTTCCCGATCTATGACGATTGATTTAAGTGAAAATTAATTTAAATAAAATATTAATTTAGCATAAACATCTTATTGTATAAGTTCATTATCAGTGGGAGATACTAATTATTATTTTTATTAACATTTAATTCCTAAAAGAATATTTTTTCAAAACGTACTAAACGTTGGTTTTTTTTGCAATTTTATATATCTATGATATCAATAAAGCTAATTCGTTATATTACTGATGCCTCTAATTAACGAGCGATTTTCCTATACTCCGACGATATTCCGTCTTGCGATTAGAAACACACAGATTTATTCTCTATTGCTGTCCACGTTACGTAATATGTAACTATATATGCAGGTAATCTATAGACCATCTAATTGCAATTGTAGAACGGCACGCAACATTGAACGTAATTCCAAATCACGCGAGTACCCGCCTTACGTAATATGGGATCCTCGACAGCCAGCGAAAAATCCTGTCTATAATTGCCGGATAATTAAGCTGTACTGCCGCACCGGGTATCATCTGGCGATTACGCCGTCGGGACGGGTCGAGGGATTACCCGGAAACCAGGAGTCGTATGGTACTTCCAGCATTGCCATTAAATATTAACTAAAGTAAAGTAAACGCCTGTATTATGTTACATATGTGTAACAAGGATAATTTACAATTATGATCGCTATTAAGATTTTTATTGTAAGAGCTTATATACACTTCTGCAGCTTTGCTCCACGCGACGCCGGTATCTTTTGGCGTTATCAGAATACAAAGCGTTGAAACGGAGCTCTACTTGGCATTCGACAAGAAAGGGCGGTTGTATGGAGAGGTGAGATATGGAGAGGAAATAATACGTTAATTACATAGCAATGTGGAAACGAATAAATTTAGCTTTTCCGCAAATTTTCGTCGTGTTGCGAGAGACGTTTTTACAACCGACAGAAATATAGAACGTAATCCGTTATGCTGTACCAGCTATATCTGTAATATTTTATATATAGCACTCTGTGAAATTCTATACAGTTCCGCGTGAAATTCCTTTGGACGCTTTTATTCTCACAACGACCTAATTCACACAACAATTTCACCGAATCTAATTTCATATAGTATTTAATAGTAAATATAACAAATGTGGTAACACAAATTTGTGCATGTCGATTTAATTAAATTAACAAATAATTTTACAATTATTCAAACTGGATCAAGTTTGCTTCAGTCACATTAATTGTCTCTCGTATAAGATGTTATTTATATTAATAAGAATTTTAAAAAGTGGCTAAGATAGATTGTAAATCCGACTTGTCTAATTAAATTTGATTTCAGGTAAATATGACTAATGACAATACCGAGTGGGAACAATGGAGCATTGGTGCCTACGACGCGTTTCGATCGCGTAAATACGTGCACTACGGTTGGTGGATAGGAATAAAGAAAAACGGCCGAGCAAAACCGGGACCGAAAACGTCTTGGGGACAGAAAGCGATACAATTTTCGGCTATCCAAGAGGATTAATCAATCAATCCGAAGCTTCCATGACACAGATACGCTTTACGGGGCATACTTCTTATCTCTAATATTTCAGTCATTGTGTAATTCTTTCCAGGAGAGAAATCCAGGTGATGAATTAACGTGTTTTATGAGTAGAGAATGACGTCGATTGGAAATAAGGATAATCATTCGGACGAGGAACCGATAATCATCGAACAGTAACGTTCCAATAGTATATAATGTTTATTATAACACTGTGTTACTCAACAATGGAATAATTTGGGATTGTGCATTCTGCTTGTGCTCTCAAACTAAAACTCCATCGCAAATCGCAGTTTCTCATATATTTGTAGTAAATACACATTTATTATTATTATGCCAATCGTCGAATCGACATAAGCAAGATAATTCCGTGTAACTTAAACCGTTTCATAAATAGCAGAATTTCTTTGGCCATCTTGCTTATAACGTACGTACGAATATCAGCTTTTCGTAATGTCATCATTTATAGCATATTGCAATTGTATATAATCTTATACGTCTCTTTTGTACATCTATGTGTAATGCGTAAATGTATAAATACGTCAAAAGCAAGAATTTTCTAGTAACAAGCGAATACCTCTATGAAATATACAATAGTTTTTGCAGACGTAAAGGGTGTATTTCAAATAAACGTCTGAAAAAGCATACGAATGCGAGAAGTAGTGTATGAAAGAGAGATAAATTAGTAATTGTATGTAAAAAAATTTATTAAGGTTAACAGTGTATGTTAAATAAAAAATTAAAAGATAAATATTAAATTATTTAGAAATATTATTACTTGGCTCCACACATACACACGCACACACACACACACATATACATATATATATATTAATTATTTTAAACAATAGTTGAACTAGATTGTGTTACTATTTCCAGCAGGATAACAAATACATTACTAATACTATTATGTGCATTAGTTTCGTAAAGAAATTAACCTAATCTTAAATTGTAAAAAAATTAAGCAAATTATATTATATTTTTAAAAAATCAACTTTTACTTAACAAATTTCCTTTTGGGAAATTCGCGAAGCGTTTATGTTTCATAAAAATTGTAGAAGTATAAAATGGATATCTTTGGTGCATACAGTCGTAATTATGTCGTAAGCGTGTTTCAAGTCACAATCACAGTGAGAACGTATTGTAAAATCTTATACGTTTTAAAAAGACGTTTGATTATACTGCAAACAGTAGAGTATCAGAAAGAGAGACATTTTTTTTCTCACAGAAAGTACACAAGCTGGCAAATTAAGCACGAAATACGGGATATTTCTAATATTGTTTTTTGTCGTAAAGCAATCGTAATTAAATGCGCATGCACATTCTTTCCAAGACAATCACAATTATTTCAAGATCAGTGCAGCTTGTTCATGAATTATCTAATTTATTTAGTCAATACGTGTTCACTTCTTCTTAGTGTTGGGACTTGTTGACTGAAACACGCTCGAAGCTGACATTAAATTCTCAATATATTGGCTCAGTACTTGATTTTCACTTCTCAACTTGAGATTTTCCTCCTTCACACTGTCCACTCTCTGTGACAGATCTAGATAGAACACATATATTTGCAACTTTACAAGTACCAAGAGATATTCCTTTAAGTATCTAATCTTAATCTGTATTGAAAAGTATACATACCATCTAAAGTATTTTGCAGTTCAAGAACTTGTGCAATCAATCTAGCTTTCTCTTCTTGCTCATCTGGGCTAATGTCTGGATCTAAGCCTGTAATTAACATAAATCCTTTTATGAATCACTCTAATTCAAACATGATAGATTTGTTTAGGTTGCCAGTAATAAACAACAATGGATACCACTGGTTTGGGTCCTTTTCAAGCACAATTCTTAAAAAATTATGTCATTAACAGTTAATCTTACAATCAAGAGTGAACATCGTTTTTAAAGCTTGACTGTTCAATGACATAATTTTTTAAGAATTGTGCTTGAAAAGGACCCAAACCAGTGGTCGAAACGTTGCACAGTACTCCTGTATTTTATTAAATAGATAAAATAATAGCCAGAAAAGGTCGGTTAAACGTATCCATCACTCTAATTCAATTATATTCTTATAAAAAAAGAGAAAATTTTAGTGAAATTGCTACAATTTTTATCTAACGGTACATAATAACTTGATAACAGGAATAAAAAATTTACTTAATGTTTACTTTGAAAATATTTAACTTAATATCTTTTTGTAGACTTACCTACAAAGACAAACGATACGATTATAAGTAACGAGGAAAGAAATCAGCAATATCACTTACTGTTAGGACTACAGCTCCCATTGGTAAATGTCGATGGAATAGAATCCATGCTACGTCCTCTGCCAAGTGGATCGGATATATGCGAGGCATTGTCTAAGATTTCCTCTTCTGGTATTATCACTGTAAATAACATACAATAAATAACGTTAGGCTGAAATCACATGGTGCAGAATAGAGCTGCGGAATAGAACGTGCGTCAAAGAAGCAACCAATCAGAGCCAGACATTTCCGTCACTCGTTGATACGGCAAAGCTCTGATTGCCTGTTTCTATAACGCACTCTCTATTCCGTACTCTTATTCCGCATCATGTGATTTCAGCCTTAGCAAGATGTTGTTTCACAACGCACAAACAAGAAAAGGCTTAGAGATTCCTTATTGTCAAAGTAGAAGCATATTGAATAGCAAGTAATAGAACGCAAACGATTAAGGACTGAACAAAATACTTTGCGAGATGAGTAAACCGAGGATTTAATTAATATTTCCCGTTTTAACGCCTTCACATCAAATTCGGAGAAACGGAGTAGATGTGACATTGCCATTGCTAATGCACTGTTAAATACAGCTGGACCAATTATCGTGCTATCAATAAGAGCAATCTCTGTGTGTAAACAAAAGAAAAAGAATGATACGGGCTAAGTTAGATGAAACTTGGGACGAGGAGATCGGAGTAAAATAAACTGCTCGAGACGAGCTAGGTTATAATTCATCAGTGACAAGCGTAAAGAAACAGGCAGTCGCCGAGAGGCGTCGCAGAATGAGGCAGCTCTAAGTTCTCACCCTGAGGATCGTCGTCCGCCAGAGGTATGCTGTTCATATCGTCCTGAAGCTTGGCTGTCATCGTCGCCGACATCTCGACTACGGTTGACCAAGAACGTAACGAAACGCACTTAACGACCGTAACCGTAGCGTTGCGTAGCAGCCGATCAGATCGCAGTATTGCTTATAGTTACTAGATGGTAGAGTCCTATATAATAAGAGAAGCGCCAACTTGTTCCGTTCCTACTTGCCGATTGGTCGGTCACGGCCGCCATGTTGCTCCTACAGTTCCGCGGGTTCCGCGCGTAGAGTTGAACGCTGTGTTCCGAATCCGATATTCGCTGCCAGTACTGAAAATGTATAATATACGTGACGTAAACTATAGATTTGCAGTCTTCTTCTTCTTCTTCTTCTTTCCTATGGCTCCCGGCTCAACCGCTGAGCCGACACGGCCACATAGATTTGCAGTACTGGCAGTGAATATCGGAACCAGTCCATACTGATTGTGAGTGCGTGTGAAAGGGGAAGCAGCGACGTAAACTCCCGGTGTTCTTCATGTTCCAAGGGCGACGTCCCGTGGAGCGGAATACGCAGAAGCGGAATCATCGGATCGCTAATCACAAGACCGTTTCGACGGGATTTTTGAAAGAGCTTTATCAGAATGATCCTGTGATTGGCGATCCGCTGATTCCGCTTTCGCGTATTCCGCTCCATGGAAAGTCGCCCTTACAGCACGCTGTGGTCGGAGAGGGAATAACACACACAAGCGAGCAGCCGTGTACGTACGTGTGCTTCGGCCCGAAGCGTCGTGAGCGTCGAGCTCACACGATACGGCTGCTAGGGTGAGTTCTATCCCCTCTCTGACGGGGAAGATTCGGGAAGATTCTCCCTCTGAAACTGGGCACACGCAGTTACTCGTCCATTTTTCTTCCACACGTCGACCTGAACGGGTGAAGCGCCAAGTGCCGATTATTCCACGTGGACTCATTCTTCTACTCTAGGTTAGTCTCTATTTATCTATTTAATTCGTCTCGTCTCTTATTTCTAGATTAAAACTGCGGTGAAGCTACCGCTACAAAAGCTTCGAAGCGCTCTATTTTCTCTACTTTTTGATTGAAAGAGGGGAAAAGAAGAATACTTCGAAGCATCTGTAGCCAGTAAAGGCAACCTAAGCATTCCATTTGCGCGTGGCGTATCACTTAGGTTCTAAATCAATGGCTGCGTTCGGCAGGAAAAGCTGCTTTGCAACTGTTGTAAAATTCGTGAATCTGATTGGTGTGTTCTCTCAATCTTGTGTGAATTTAAGAGCATACGCCACTCAGATTCATGAATTTTACAACAGTTGCAAAGCAGCTTTTTCTGTCGAACGTAGCCATTGTGTAAGAGTATTCGCCGGGAGAGCGCGCCTGCTCCCGGGAACGCTCCAGACAAACGCGCGAAAAGGCGAACACGTGAACGCCGCGAGACGCCTCGTCAGGTGTTCACGTGTAAAGCACGGATAAGCGCGAACCGAAGCTGAGCCGTGCCCGCGAAAAGCCCGACACTCGCTTTCGAGAAGGGACACGCGCCGGTCCTGCGAGTCAGTACGCGACGTAATAAAATTCTGTATCGGAGTTCTTGCGAACGTAGTGGAGATTT